AAGAAGAAGAAGAAGAAGAAGAAGAAGAAGAAGAAGAAGAAGAAGAAGAAGAAGAAGAAGAAGAAGAAGAAGAAGAAGAAGAAGAAGAAGAAGAAGAAGAAGAAGAAGTCGTCTACATGCTTAGACATTTCACAGGCCTTTGCTTGCATCCTGTCTGCCATTCCATTGGCTGAAGCAAACCACATGGTCCAGAAGCAACATAAAAAGGTGTAATCAAGGAAATGGACGTGGAGAAAGGATTTATGGCCACCCTTTCTCATACGCTCCACTGCAGCATTAGCATTTAATCATTGTGTGGTGTAGTTTTGGTCAAATTGACCCAAGCGAGAGGACACTTGGGAAAGGGAACCTCAGCTGTGGAACTGCCCCTTCCTGCCCCGTGTGCGCGTGTGTGAGGGCATCTCCTGATTTATGACCGATGTGGGAGGGCGCACTGGGTGCAAGTGGACCTGAGATGATTAAGAAAGCAGGCTGGCGAGGCGCTGGGGCAAGGCAGTGGGCAGTGCTCCTTCTGGTCTCTGCTTCTGCTCCTGCCCTGACACCCCTCGGTGATGGATTACAATCTGAGTCATAAGATGAAATAAAACATTTTCTCCCTTAGCTTTATTTTTGCCAGAGTTCTATCGTAGCAGTAAGAAACCAGCACAGTCTTTTAAATCAAGAAAACCAAAGCAAGAAGTCCAGCTTATGCAAAAATTCAATTATGGGCCCCATAGTGAGCTGAGACCTGGAGTCTGGTGATGGTGCCCCAAAGAGAGCCAAGCAGTACACCATTTGGCCTCACTGGATTTGATCTTACGCTGCTGTTCCCTCCACAAGTGATATGGCTTCTACCTATATGACTTAATGTTTGTTTTTCAAACTTAGCCTCTTGGTTTTCATGGCACAAAAATACGAGAATCTTTACCTGTGCCTCTTGTTGCTCCCTTTAATGAAAGCTGGCCCTGTTTGCATGTGCAGGGTACAACGCAGTGTGTGCACGCAGGGTGTGCACATGTGACATAATTCAGTGCCCAAAGGTGACCTCACTGACAAGCATGCAATTATGCAATTGATCCGGGCATGTGTACGAAGTTCTGGAAAAGAACAGTAACTATTTTGTCTCAGACTTTTCTCCCTCTGAAAGCAACTTGTCTGTCCAGCCCTACTGGGTAGATGCCCAAAGGAGACAATAGAGGGGTCCACACTGGAAAATGATGCCCAGTTACCTAACATAAAACACAAGCTTCAGACATCTGGTTGGCTGTGTGGGAAACTATTTCTTAGAAGAAATCAAAGTTTGGAAAAATTATTTTGATGAAAGAAGATAGAGATGAATGATGCTTCCGAGGGCAGGTATGGCATGAGAAAGCTTTCTGCTCAGTTAAGGAAGAGGCCATCACAATGTCATTCACAGACACACACGTACACACCCACCAGTTCTGAACAGTAGGCTGAGAAGGCTCAGGATCCCTGTGATAGCCCACAATACCTTCAGAGTGAGCATCATATAGACAACAGCCTTGGCAGCTGGCCCAGGAGATTCAGGTGGAAACATGTGGAGAACATTCCTGCTGGGCTTACGTAAGAACCACCACCACAGCCTGTTATGAATGAAGGGTATCCCATCCCTTCAAGGCACAAGACTGGAGCCCCATGCTTGGCACTCATAGAGGCCCTGAGGCTGTTGGAAGCTGTGGGTAAGCCAGGAGAGATGACAATGGAGTGGTGTTACTGGAGAAGAGCCACATTTTAGAGAGCGAGGGCAGGATGCTACAACCCAGGCTTTCCTTGCTGTTAGCCTGATAATGCTGGTCAAGCCCCCTCACTCTAGGACATTTGTTAACTTACTTCTGATAAGACAAAGTTGATATTGATCAGGTGCCTACCTCCCAGCCCCTCTCCTGTGGTCTACTTTTCTTTTCCATGTCATTCAAAACTTGTAACAAACTAAATAATTTACTATTTTGCATTCATTGTCCATTCCACCATGGCGAGGGGCCTTGAAAACCAGTCTTAACAATATATCCCACACAGCTAGAATGTGTTTGACATGCAGTGAGAGTTCAATTAATATTCATTAGCTGGATGCTGAATAACGACTTCAAGGACTATGTCTACATTTACTGTTAATATATTGGTTATTTATTGTTGTGTAACAAATCATCCTATACTTGGCACCAGAAAAAAAAATAGCAGTCATTATTTCTCATGATTTAGTGGCCCAGGAAGTCCAGCAAGCATTCAGTCATGCAACTGATACAAGCATGTTTGCAAAGTTCCAGGAAGAAGCAGTGACTATTTTGTCTCAGACCTTCCTCCCTCTGGAAGCAACTTGTCTGTCCATCCCTGCTGGGTAGATTCCTCAGAGGAGACAATTCTACTTTTGATGGCTTCTGCTACGGCTACATTCGATGACTATAAGGAAGGACTGGGAACCTCCCTTCCACTGTCAGATGTCTTTACAGTCCTTTGTGTGACTTCATTCTTGCTGGTAGCTCATCATTCTTAAATCTGTTCAGCCTGAACTTCTTTAATGGTGATTGGATTTACCAGATCAAATTAGACTGGAAGTCAAAGTAAGACCAGATTATACAGAATCCACCTCTCCTCCCCTTCTCTCCTCTCCTCTTCTTCCTCTTTCCCTATCTTTCTCCCTTTCTTCTCTCTCCCTCTCCTCCTTTCCCCTCCATTCCTTTTCCCCTCCCTCCCTCTCTCCTCTCTGTCTCTCCCCTCCCCTCCCTTTTTCTCTCCCTTCCTCTTTCCCTCTCTCCCATATTCCCTGACAAGGATGGAAGCTACATCCCAAGGTTTAGGCTCTGGTCATGTACAGCTCATCACATCGCTGCAACCCTCTCGATCTTCACAAAGCTGAGCACTCAAATGAACCTACAGCTGTGAGCCTTCGAGCTTGGGCTGCGTCCAGCCCCTTCAGGGGTGGGAGTGATGGCAGCGGAAGAGTGCATGGCCAGCAACCTGACCAGGAGGTTGGGAACTCTTCAGGTGGGGATGATGACCCTCTCCCTGGCTCCCTTCCAGATTCCACAGACGGTGAGGGTGACTGGAGTCTCTGGTCTGTCTGCAGCGTCACCTGTGGGAATGGCAACCAGAAACGGACCCGTTCTTGTGGCTATGCGTGCATTGCCACAGAGTCCAGGACCTGTGACCGTCCCAACTGCCCAGGTAATTGCAGGGCTGTGGCTCCAAGTTCAAAGGAAAAGTGTTTTCATTGATATTTTAAAACTTGAAGAACTTATCTAAAAGATAGCCATTTTCCTCATAAATCTTTTGGCCAGAGTGGGACAACTAGAGAGAGCTGATAGGCTTGGTGGATGAAAAGACGGATTTCCTGAGCATCAAGTACAGTTGCAGTGGCTGGGACTAAAGGACAGTGCCATATTGTATTCATTTAACTTGAAGGAGACTCTGGTCAGTTTGGACCTTTGAAGTGGGATTTTCATAGCGTGAAAACAGATACTCATTTCTGATGAGGAAGACGGATTGAGTAGATTCTCATTCTCAGGAAAACCATGGAGTTAGCCCTGTCAGTAAGATCTGAGAGTTGCCCAAGGCTTCCCAGGGAACAAACTGGGACAACCTAACCTTTCATTGTGACCTTATACTTCGACAGCAGTTAATTGCTGACTTAGTGAGAAATCATGTTAGGACTAAACAATAATTGTGACTGTAGTTGTCAAAGTGGTTTGTCAAAATAAAGCATGTGGCCTATTTGTATAGAGACCTACACTGGTGGAAGGATCAAGCAGGAGAAAGCAGAGGAGGATCAGAGGCGACCAGGACCATGAGTGACCTACAGAGCCTGAACTATGAGCCTCCGGGTCCTTTAGACAAAGCTTATCCACCCCTGGGATATTGTTACACAGTGTTCCCAATTGCCAGGTAGAATACCAGCCTACAGTGATATTTTGGGCCACACATTCCAAATGGCTTCATCTGAAAGAAATTTCAGAGGCAGAAAATATGATCCCCATACCCCAGACTTCCTTTTTCTACTCCTAGACATTCTATCTCAAACCAGAGGCATTTGGACCAAAACAAAAGTGGAAGCACAAAGAGCTTTCTAAAGAGAGGGAGGAGGAGGGAGCGGAATGGGCGTATGCCGGCAAAGGGTGTGCGAAGAAAATGGGGCCGAAATGTAAGAAGTGGTGGCTCCGGCTCCATGTCAGCCCTACAGATGTCTTGCCTCTCCCAGTCTTCCCTGTGCTCATTGCAGTGAGCCGAGGTGGAGGTCTGGGGAATGGGTGTTAGCTGGGTAGCAACAAAGCAGTAAAAATAGCACATGGAAGAAGAGGAGCTATCCAGAAAGAATGTAAAGAAGAGAAGGAGAATATGAGGAAAAGGGTCAGAATGATACTGAGATAAAGAAAAGGAAGATTGTCTAGGCATGTGGGTGAGTGGTAAAGGATTTGTCCAGCCATGTGAGGCCCTGGGTTAGAGTCCTAGCACCAAGCAAAAAAAAAAAAAAAAAAGAGAGAGAGGAAGAAGGAAGGAGAAAGCAAAGGTATAGGAGAGAGTAGGAAGGGGGGAAGGGAGTAAAGGAGGCTGAAGGGAGGGGTGGGAGGAAGATAAAGATTAAGGAGTGGAAGAAAAACAGGAAAAAAGATAGTAATAAAGAAGGAGAATGGGAGTATGCTGAGTATGTAAGTACCAATCACAGTCCCATGGTTTGTAGGTATGTTATTTCATTTCCCTCTCTAAACTGCCCCATGGCACAGAAACTTATTACTGTACTTGTTTGGCATTTGTTTAACCTGAGACTCAAAGCCAGCAACAAATGATAATTATGGAATTTGAATCCATGGCCCTAACTGGTACACCCTTTTACCTTCACCATGACGAAAGGTCTCTGGCTCAGGCACACACAGACACAGGCGGATTTTACTTTGAGTTGTAGGGGCATGCCTGCATTGTCAGAGCTAGGATACAGGGCCAAGGCGGTAGGCATGGATTTCCTGTCAGGGAAAAGCTCTTTTCTTCTGCCTTTCTGTATGTTTCCTTATTGGGTACCAAGACCACAGAGCAGTGCAACCAGTTTCCCTGAGCATGCATTTTCTTCTCGCCTGTCCTTGCCCACAGTCTTTCCAGCCTTTCTGCTTTAGGAGGTGCCAGCTTCAAAGGTCCCTTTGGATAGGAACTGTTGCTTTCAGCAGGGTCCCCTTCCTTATTTGGTTTATCGAATCTGCTTTTTGCTGAAAGCAAAAATCATATTCCATAATAGACATGATTTTGTGGTCTTGGTAAGGATCATGCTGTAAAAGTATGTCCCTTTGGGCTGAAGAGATGGGCTGGCGGCTGAAAGCACCAGCTGCCCCTTCAGTTCTGAGTACCAATGCCAGGCAGTTCACAACCACCCGAAACTCCAGCTCCAGAGGATCTGATACTCTCTTGTGATCCTCCCAGGCACTGAACACACATAGCACACAGACACGCACAAATAAAAACAAATATTTCTTATACATATGTTCCTCAGTCAACGCTTGAGAGACCCAGCATAAAATCAGGGTGATCCCTTAAAGGATATCCGGTCACACTCAACAACGAAGCCAGCATTCCCCAACAAAAGTGTTGCCATCTCATGATTACCCTGCACAGACCTCCTATTCTGAGGGGAGCTGAACTGGGTGTGGTGATTCCAAGCTGAGGTGTAAGGGAACTGAGAGGTTTGAAGCAAATCAGAGTTTCTTAGAGTAGATAATGGGTTTCTCGGCACCTCCTTTCTGAAGCAGCAATAGGAGTGAGGTGGGAAACACGAGTTTCCGCTTCTTTGCCAGGAAGATGCTCTCTCCATGTCTCACTCCCGTAACCCAATGGACTCAGCAGGGGAGAGGTGGTGCTCAGCTCTCCTGAACTGAGGGACATGAACACCGAGGCTCACAAAGATGAAGTGTCCTGCCTGGGTCCAGCTAGTAGCGGTTTAGACCCAGACAGTCGGCCATTTAGAAAGAAGGTATTGAGTGCTCTGCTGCCCTGGTCTCGTCTGCCACTCACCCGCAGCCACCCTGACAGGTGCCCACCACCACCCACCCTCATACCCAAGGCAAAAGGCTGAGGCCTGCGTCTCATCCAGGCACATTTGGATCTGATTTCGAGCTGTGAATAGAATCTGGGGTTTTAATGTGTTTTATGCATGGCTACCTGCTTTTTACTGTTTCCTCTGCTGGCACATATCTACCCATGACTAGCAATGAATACAAAAAGCTTTTGTTCAGGTGTGTTTGTTTTGAACTGGGGGAGCAGGGAGTGGGGATGGCGATTTTTTTCCTATAACTGGGGGAAAATGAGCTCTTGTCTGTGTTTAGGAATTGAAGACACTTTCAGGACAGCAGCCACGGAAGTGAGCCTGCTTGAGGGAAACGAGGAGTTTAATGCCACCAAGTTGTTTGAAGTTGGTAAGAGGTTTTGTTTTTGTTTTTGTTTTAAATCCAAATATTGGTTCAGTGCTTTGGAGATTCATTTTGCTTCTTCAGTGCCATCCTGGGACCTGTGAAAATGTTTCGTTTTTCCCTTTGAGGTCTGGTGTTTCCAATATATTTCTTGCTCACTGAATAGACTCCAAGCAAGAGGGAGCAGCCTCATCCCTCCTCCACCAGGCCAGACTTAACAGTAGGATACCTTTGTGAGCAACTGGCAGAGGCTCCAAAGTGAGACACGGGTTGGAGCCCACCCTCGTCCTAGCACAAAATAGGTCCACTACCCAAAGAGCTCTGTCCTTACCCCGCATCTGGTAAGAGGAAACCTTCAGCAGAGGAAAGGAGGGAGGAGGAAGTTTTTCAATATTATACACTTCCCTCCATTGCAAGAATTTTCCATTAAAAAAAGTCACTGTGTGTGTGTGTGTGTGTGTGTGTGTGTGTGTGTGTGTGTGTGTGTGTCAGAAGCAACAGCCTGAATGAACACAGCAGAAGGTGCCCACTCAGGTGCGAGCTTGCTTTTCAGTACAGCTTTGTTTACTTCTGGATGCCATTCTGTGGCATAAAAGAGTAAGATTCCTTCTGTCCCATTTCTTTTCTCCTGAAGATTCTTTTGTAAACTCAAGTCTGCCCTACCTCCTCAGATGAAATGGAGCAGGCCTAAGTCCCTTTTTGTTTCCTAGCCCAACTATTTTGAGATGTAATTTTCTGTCTTTCTTAGAGAACTATAGGAGTCAGTCAAGGGTCTAAGCAGAATAGTCTAGAAAACAAAGAATGACTGAAAAAAAAAAAAACAACAACAAAACCAGTGCCAGCACTCTGATAAAAAGAAGCAATAAACAGTATCGGCCTCAGCATGGGGGGGGGGGGGGGGCAGGCAGAGAGGAGTGACACTCATCTTTCCTCCCCCAGTTGAGGTGGCATCCACAGTGAAGGCTGCTGGGAGAAGTCAGTTTTCTCTAAGGGTGTGGCCTCTGCTAAGCTGAGCATGCTACAGTGAAGACCATGTAGCCAAGAACACTTGAATTACACAAACTGGTCTTGATGGGAGAAGTAGGGGAGTTAGGAAGGAGGGTAGCTCTGGGAAGAGTGGGGGAGGGGAATGTGATCAAAATTCTCAAAGAACTAAGATTATCTTTTCTGAAAGACCTGAATATCAACCCATTACCACTAGATGGACTGATTTTCCAAGGCAGGTCCCAGATCTGGTTTAACTAAAATGTACATTGACTTTCACAATGCTTGTTAATAATTTATTTTTAAAACAAATCCATTTAAATGTGTCTGTAAGCCAGACTCAGGACAGTTTAGAAAGTCTGTGATGGTAGGACCTCCACCCACCCCTCTCCTCACATACACAGAGATTACATTTATTTAACAAGAGCCTTCTGCAAACACAGTTCACTGGATATATTTTTTAAGCTGACTTTAAAGGTGTGAGTTTTACATAAAATGGAAGAACAGAAGACATGGTTTTTGGGAGACAAAGAAGTTCTTCCTGTCTCCTCATATGACATGTATAGGGCAAGGCATACGGCCCCACCCAACACGAAGCATGCCAGAGTATCCGAGTAGACCTGTTCAACCAGAATCCAGGGCGAAACGAACTGAGTACGTAGGAAGCTGGTGAGTATTTAGTGAGGGACAATTTGAACAACTATGAACAGAGTTGATGTAAACCAAGAAGGGAAGCTCAGGACTGACAAAAATGGAGAGCCCTGACAGTTCTTGACCTCATGGTACCCAGGTAGGAGCAGCAAGCACAGCTCATAGTGGGAGCCATCTGCCCACAGTCCCAGCTAAAGGATGCAGACAACGTGCAATAAGAGGTGAACCAGCAGAACATTCTAGCCTTACCTCCTCCCCTTGCGTGCTCCAATGATGGGTCCTCCTATTGGGCGATCCACACACAAATAATGGGTGAAAGGTTTACGTGATACAGTCCACATGTGTCAGGACAAGTGTGCCACGGGATGGAGACACACTTGTGGGCAAACAGAAAACGAGACAAGCAGACAGGAAACACTGGGTTTCCACATGTCAAGCTACTTAACTAACCCTGCCTTGAGTTTGCTCATCTGTAAAATGGAGCGAGACATAGCCCACCTCACAGGGTGGCTGCAGAATCCAGCAAGGTACTTGTCTCCCAAGCTTAAGCCCATCACACCGAATACCCTGTCTAAGTACGTTTTAAAAAATGAAAACCAGTCAACAGAAGTCCTATAGCACAAGAATTGCAGTAGTCTCCCACCTTGGAAAATCTAATGCCATTTTCTCGGAACTCCTAAAGTGTGTTTCTGAAGGCCCTGCCCTTCCAGGAAGAGGCTGTGACTTCCCAGGTACTTCCAGAATGGACCTACACCACTGAGTGACTGTGGAGACAAGGAGACACAGCTGAGAAATCCTAGAACTCAGGGAACAGAGGAGCCGCTGCGTGTGCTAGCTAGCCCTCCCCAGGAGAGCGCACTGTTCACCTCCCTGCCACTGATTCTCCAGACCAAGTTCGTCAGACAAGTCCTGTCTTCATGTGAACTTGACAGACAGCAGAAACCCAGCAAACTGAAATGTCCACAGTCACACAGCTGCTGAGAAGTTGGGCTTTCCTCCCAGCCATGTTAAAATGAGGAGCCAGTCTCACACCAGAGCTCTGTGGACTCGGGAAAAATGTTCCATTTCCCCCGTTCCCATCTCACTGATGGAGAGCTTGACCCTATGTCCTGACCTCATGATCCCATGCATAAGCATCCCAGTCTCCCAGGCATCTGACCCAAAACAGCAGTCATCTCCCTGCCTTAACTCATTGCCCACAGACTTTGAAACCACTGACATCAGTAATTGTGGACCTTCTTGATGCAACCCACTGTTAGTAAGCTTACCTTCTCTGTGCTCTCACCATTGATAACCTACCCTGGACTCAGCACTGGGTCAATGTTCTCAACACGCAGCTCAGCTGATATATTTCACTGTGTTTAGTGGCTCTCTGGGGCCCTCTGGATAAGCCTAAAGTGAACACACTCTCCATGCCTGACACCAACCTTCTTCTCCAAAGGAAAAGAAAGTGCCCGAAAGTGTCCTCAGCCCCAGTTGTCCTCATTCTTCTTCTCTCTCCTTTCTCCCCTCCCTCTCTCTGTCAGTCTGGTGTGCATGCACGTTTGTCCATATGTGTACATGTGGAGGCCAGAGTTCAGTATCAGATCTTCTCCATCTTAACTTTGTGAGACAAGGCCCCTCACAGTATCAGGAGCTCAGCCTGCTCTTTCAGCTAGACTAGCTGGCCTGAGACCCCTCACGACCAACGTGTCTCTACCCTGCCCCCAAGTGCTGGATTCCAAACATGTTCCTCTGCACCCAGCTTCTTCACCAGCTCCGGGGAGCTGAACCCAAGGCCTCATGGTTGGCAGCAAGCACTCGATGCCCTAACCCATCTCACTAGTCCCCCATCAGATTTGTTTCACTGCTCAAGATTGGTTTTTACAGTCAGTGCTTGGCTGCAGGCCTTCCCCATCTTTTCCCACCTCCTACCAGAGTTTATAGCAGTTTGGGTTTGCAAGTAACACGTACCAGATGGGAGTGAGCATACAAGGTGACAATACGACACCTGAGGAAGGGATGAAACAACTGGGGAGGAAAAAACAACCCAGTCCTGTCCAACATAGAATGCTTAGCCAAGGGGACCCAGACGGGAAGCCAGAGAGCTTCCTCCATGCTTGGTCATTTGCCTCTAGGGCAAGTATGACCTGGATGATGGGGGATGGTGACTTTCTTCTCGGAGCTCTGAAGAGGAAGTCGGTACAGCAGCTCATCAGCAGCATCATGTGAAAGGCACCTAACCCTATCCCTGACCTACTGTATCGGAAAGAGAATTTCATTTCAGTTTTGAAATGTTTTGTCTTAGACAAGAAAGCCATGTATTGTGTGGTACCTATGTGTCATCCTAGAAATTCGGAGGCTCAAGTGAGTCCCACACACTATGAGACTGTCTCACAAACAACAGAAAAATGCCTAGGGTTTTCTATTATGGAGAAAAATGCAAACAGGGTTTTCTTTTATGGGGAAGTAAATAAAGCCAGGAAGAGCCCAGTGGTGTCTGCATCGGTCACTCTATGTCACTGAAAAAAAAAGTACTTGAAAGAAAAAACAGCTGAGAAGGAAGGAAGGTTAGTTTGGGCCTCTAGTCTCAGTTTATGGTGTGTGGCCTGTTGCTGTTGGGCCTGTGGCAAAGCATAATGTCACAGTGAGCAGGTGTGAGGAGGCTGTACACCCCATGGCAACCAGGGAGGAAAAGGGAGAACGAAAGGGACTGTAGTCCCAAGATGGATGCCTTGTGATGACACGAACTGCTATGTCCTATGAGTTCTGCTACCTCTCAGTAATGCCGCAGGCTGGGGACCAAGCTATCAATATTGGGCTATTGATGGGCACTCGAGATCCCACTGTAACACTGGGAAATGGGGTGGGAGTGTGGCGAGGTGGAAGAGCAGATTTAAGGGTGCTTCATCCTGGGGCCAGCCGGCTTGCTTTCAGAAGGGACTCCGATAGAAAAGCCGTGAGCTAGCTCAGTGAAGGCCAGAGTCTGGGGGCTTGGAGTAGGGACAGTGGGTTAATAAAGTTTGGTTAAGATGTGTTCTGTTCTGATCAGTCAGTGTGGTCAAGCAGTTCGACTAATCATGAGCAAGAAAAGAAAAGAAATAGTCTATGTTTGAGCTTATTGTTCATAAATGGAGACAGCAACCACGAGTATCATCTAAGTCCGAAGAGAAAAGGGGTTGCAGGATGGCAGAGATGGGAAAAGTACTTATATTCTTAATATTGTTGTTTTCCAGGACAAGGTCCTTTGAGGCTCAGGCATCGGGCCTACTCACATTCCTAGCCATCTTGTACTTTTTATTCTGAGAGAGGGTCTGAGTTGCCCAGGCTAGTCTTGAACTCATTCTGTAGATCAGGTTGGCCTTATTCTCTACACCAGTTCTGGCCTTGAATTTGTGATCCTCCTTCCTGTGCCTCAGCTTAGATGCTCACACCTGATCTGAAATAAAGTTCTTAATAAAAGTATGATACTGCCGTTGAGGGGAATCCTAAGAAGGGTTTTTCAAGTTACTAGGCTACAGGGAGACTGTATTCGCTTCTCACAAGGTTAGATCCCTGCCTTGGATTGAGGTCCCACCCCTTTGGAGATCATAACCAAAGTCCATCTCTACCAGCATCTTGGCCTCAGAGTCTGAGCAATACCAAACTAAGACACACATTGAATCAAATATTCTTGCCCCCACAACTGAAGGATCATGAGAACCCCTGTGAGTGATCAGGCAGGCACTAGGCTGACTTGGGAACCTCCTGTCCTAGCCACGTGGGGTGATACTGTTCACCTACACCCTGGCCAGTTGTCACGGAGGGGCAATACAAAAAGAGCATGTTCAAATTTCAGTTCTTAAAAAAGTCCAGGAGTGCACAATCAGAATTGAAATCCATAGCCAGGAATTGTGACACACACCTTTAATCCCAGCACTTAGGAGACAGAGGCAGGCAGATCTCTGTCAGTTCGATGCCAACTGGGTCTACACAGAAAAAAAAACTGTCATTCATAAATAAATACATACATACATACATACATACATACATACATACATACATACATAAATAAAAAGAATTTAAAATTCATAAATTATTTTTCATTATTTAAAACAATTTTTAAATTTAAATATATTTTGATCATGCACTTCCCTTCCTTCAGGTGCCTTCCAGATCATCTCCCCTTCTAAACCATCCAACTTTTAAGTTCTTTCTCAGAAAAAAAAAAAAAAAAACCATGCTCCTCTGTGTTTAAAAATTCCTCACAGTAGAAAGTCAGGAGTTGGGAAGATGTCTTATAAATAGACTTGCCAAGTTCAGGGGATATTGGAATGACCACGATGTCTGGTGGTTGTGGGTGCCGTGGAGTCTCCGATGCTGAGGAAGGACACTGTTGGCTTTAGGGTCAGCCGCCTAGAAAGTTTAGCATGTTCTGAGGGAGGTTTTTTTTCCGCTCTTTTTTAGACATGGACAGCTGTGAGCGATGGATGAGCTGCAAAAGTGAGTTCTTAAAGAAATACATGCACAAGGTTATCAATGACCTGCCCAGCTGCCCCTGCTCCTACCCCACTGAGGTGGCCTACAGCACGGCCGACATCTTTGACCGCATCAAGCACAAGGACTTCCGATGGAAGGATGCGAGTGGACCCAAAGAGAAGCTGGAGATCTACAAGCCTACTGCGCGGTACTGCATCCGCTCCATGCTGTCCCTGGAGAGTACCACGCTGGCCGCCCAGCACTGTTGCTATGGTGACAACATGCAGCTCATCACCAGGGGCAAAGGGGCAGGCACACCCAATCTCATCAGCACCGAGTTCTCTGCTGAGCTCCACTACAAAGTGGACGTCCTGCCCTGGATCATCTGCAAGGGCGACTGGAGCAGGTACAACGAGGCCCGCCCCCCCAACAACGGGCAGAGCTGCGCCGAGAGCCCTTCTGACGAGGACTACGCGAGACAGTTCCGAGAAGCCCGGGAGTACTAGAGCGCCGCTGGGGTCGGAGACACAAACGCACTGCACTGATCTGCCAACTGGCACCCCGTTCTTCTTATCCACATGTCTGTATATTTGTATATTCCACATGAATAGCTTTATAAGTACACTAGAGGTATGCAGCAGGTCTGAAGGACCTACAAACCACGTAGGAAGCCCTCCTGGTGGGTGTGTGGGCAGGAAGAGGAACCTGGGAGCAATGATGGGTGTGATTCCATTCCCACTCCACAGAGACTGAGGTTGTAAACATTATAAGCAGTTTTTATATATAACTTATTTAATACAAATGTGACTTAGACATAACCTTTTCTCTGGAGTTGTCCTTGTAAAAATTATTTAATCGCTTCTGAGGGAGTTCAAAAAGAAAAGGACTTGGGGGAATGAAGAGAAAAAGGAATTTTGCAGTGGAAATGTACCAAAACAATAAACAGCCACCTTACACCAGGTGTTGGTTAGTCGTGGGGTGTCTGCTGAGCCACAGATTCCGACAGTTTCTTGTCTTAGACTAGGCAAGGGGTGGGCACTAAGTGAGTGGAGTCAAATCTAAGACATGGCTTTAAATGGCCTTAAAATAAATAACCAGTGTAATTCTACTAAGGAGCCCAGCAGCGCCTCTGCTCTGTCCTAACAGGCTCAGAAGACTACAAGAAGTTCAGGCATAAAGCCAGGAGCGGCACTTTCCAAAGAAAAAGCAAAACAAATGGGAAAAGAATATGGATTGTTTTGTCTATTTTATTTTAATGTAACAACTTTTCTCCACCATTATATTCCCAGTAAATAAATATAGAAGGGGGTGATGTGAGCTGAAATCTGGGAAATGGTAATTTTTTTATGTTTTAAGAAAAAACTGCATTATTTTTGTAAAGTATTTATTGAGTCATTGGCTATTGTGCACTGTGCAGTTCTAAGATGGACCACTTTTGTGGGGTAGAACTTGAGTACAGCTGAAGAGTTGGTTCTTATGCAATCTCTTACTTGCAAAACTCCAGGAAAATATATAAATATATAATAAAGTCATAATAAACTGTGTTACCTGCACCCTTGATTTATGATACAAAGAGTGAAATGACTCCAAGTGAAGCCAGGCTTCCATGAGGAGAAAGCTTCAACCAGGAGGGAATAAAAGACTCACAAATGGACTTAATGGTGGCCAGGGTATGTCATAGCGTCTTTGGCATCAAGAGCATCTCCCCAGCCCCCCAAATGGCTCAGGCTAATTGGCACACATATGATTTTTCTTTCCTCATCCAGAACTAAGAGCAAAGACTTAAGATAGGCAAGGCTGCTTCTAGACAAAAACAAATACAAGTAATAGGTAGAACTACTTACAATGCAAGTTACTGTTTTTCCAAATGAGAGAAGCCAAAGGTCAGAATGTATAAACCATATTCGACATTTCTTTGTGAAAGGCTGGCTTGGTGCTCTTGTATCCCTGGTGACTTTGGATTCTTGACCACACACTCAAGTTCTCCTGGTACAAGTATGTTCTTACAGAAAAGCTCTTCCCTGTTCTTTATATGCGAGTGAATTGTTTCCCGAGATACTGCCCATCAGATTATTTATATTCAGGTTCTGCATCTAGTGACAAAACAGCAAGGCTGGTTTAGGGTTGGAGAGATGGCTCAGTAGTGGTTAAGAGCACTTACTGCTGTTACAAAGGACCTGGGTTTGTTTCCTAGCACCCAGTGGTGGCTCACACTTATTTGTAACATTTCCTGGGTTCTGACACTTCTGGCCTCTCGGGACACTAGGAATGCATGGTACACAACACCCATGAAGACACTCACATAGACACATAAAAATAAACATTTTTTTTGAGGTCTTGTTCACACTTGAAGGAAGGCTAACTGAGCCAGTGGAGAGAATGAATGGTCATGAATCAGAGGAGAGCGCTTGGTTTGTAATACTAGAGAAAAAAAAAATCTTCAAAAAGAGAATTGGCTGGAAATAGAACATACTGCTTTTGAGCTGGTCAGTTTCTTGTCAGGACACACACAAGCAGAAGCAAGAAGTAAGGTCCTTGGGAAGTTCAGTTGAGTAGCAAGGAGGAATAAGAATGTTCTGCAGCAAGGCCTGCTGGGTATCCTGAAGTAAGTTCAAGGTTGTGGGCAGATCCTTCTGGAGGTCAGAAAGGCACCTGAAGGCTCCAGGAGAGGGGTGGGATTTTTTTCTGGTAATTTTAAGTGATTTTAAAATTTTTTCCTTTTATTTTGTTGATATTATAATGGAATTACATCATTTCACCCTTCCCTTTCTTCCCTCCATATCCCTCTTTGTTCTCTTGTTCATTGATTACTGATTGGCTGTGTGTGTGTGTGTGTGTGTGTGTTCCTAAACACACATGTACAACCTGCTCAGTCTGTTTTCAGGGCTGATAATCTGGTATTGAATAATCAGTTGGTGTGTTCTTCCCTAGGGAAGATGATTTCTTCTACTCTCAGCATTTTTTCAGTTATCTGTAGCTTTTTGTAGAAGGTTAAGGCCTCTTGGGCTTTTTCTGTCCTCTTTGGCATGGCTATTGTCCTGTCTGTGTTCAGTTCATGGCTCAGCAGTCCTACTGGGGAGACTTCTGGGTGTAGTCTCTGGCGTTCTTAGGAGACACGGTCTTCCAGCAAAATCCCTGATCCTCTTGTTTTCCACTTTCCTCCCCCCTGGTCTGCAATGATCCCTGAGCTTTGGGCACAGGAGTGTTTTGTAGATGTATCCACTGAGCCTGGGTGTCACAGTTTGTTTGGTTGTGGTTTTCTGTAACAGTCTTCATTTACTGCAAAGAGAATGTTTTTATGAGTGTGAGAACTGTACTATCTGTGAGTGTGAGGACCAATATTTAGAATGTAGTTATGGATTCTGCTTGTTTAGCAAAATGGCAGTTGTGTGTTCTCCTCCAAAATTTATGACTTTAATAGCCTTCGTAGGATAGTTGATTAGTTTTCCAATAACCGGGCATTATTCGTCTCCTTTTCAGTGAGTCTTAAGTCCAGTTATGCCAAGGTATACATGCCCTGTATCTTCAAAGTTCTCCTGCTGTGCTGGTCATTGCCCTGGTTTTATAGGCCTCATAGCTCGATAGGACTGGTTGTTCCCTCTTTCGGAGGCTTGCATGGTGCCTTCTGGTACCATTAAGATTGACATCCATGGGGAAGCTTTCAAAGGTTCCTGATCAGGAGGCTCTGGCCCATATGTCTGAAGTGCATGGTATCTTCAGCAACTGGGACTTACCTCATACTTTTGGTTGTAAATGAGTAATCATGATAGAATGTAATGTTTTGAGAGTCTCTTTGACAACCCTGACCAACAACTCTAAAAAAGAGCTTCTCATACTTTATGTTGACAGACTTGTTAGAAGGTCTTTGGCTCTTGAAAGGAGCATTATCAGCCCAGATGGGAAATTTTCTTCTAACTTAAATACATATATTTATTTGCCAACATAAGTATATTGTATGTATATTGTAAGTATATTGTTCATAGTATGGTTCCGTATAAATTTTTAAACCATCCTTACTTTCATACCGTTATTTTGTCATCCTATATTTATCTCCCTCCCTCTTTAATTAGAGTCTCCCAACTTTCCCACTTCCCCATCAAATTAGTAGAGAGATAGTCCCCCTCTACCGATCGCCACTCCAAACCCCAGCAGTGGGCCCTTTTTATTCTCTCCTCGTTTCTGCAGTTGCTCCAGGATACTCACAACTGAAGATTTAGAACTAGGAGCCTCAGATAAGAGAGAGTGTGACTTTTGTCTCTCTGGGTCTGGTTTACCTCAATATTTTCTAGTTCTATCAATTTACCTGAAAAGTTCATGATTTTCTTTTCCTTTATAGATTAATAGCATTCTGTAGTAATATGTCACTATATTTTCATTAACTATCAGCTGAAGGACATTTAGGTTGTTTCTGTTTCCTAGCTGTTATAAAGAGAGCAGCAATGAACATGTCTGAGCAAGGATCTGCAGAGTACGGTGTCCAGTCCTTTGAGTATATGCCAGGGAATGGTATAGCTGGCTCATAAGTTAGATTTGAAAAGATTTATGAAAATTCTCCACACTTATTTTCACATTGGCTGGACCGATTTGCAATTCCACAACAGTGAATGAGGGTCCCCTCTCCTCACATCTCCTACAGTTTTTGTTGGAGGTTGTTTTGTTGGTCTTTGCCAGTCTGACTGGGGTAAGATAAAATCTCAAGGTTATTTTGAGTTGAATTTTCTCAGTTGCTAGGGATGAAGATATATTTCTTAGCCATGTTTTTCTTTCTCCTTTTCTGATCAAGTCCCAGGTACATTTTTTTTTTCTATTTTTCTGAATGGGTGATTTGGTGGGTTCTTTTTTTTCTGACTTTTTTATTTTTGAGATATATATGTGTGTGTGTGTGTATATATATATATATATTCTGAATATTAATCATCTGTCAGTTGTATAGCTTGCAAAGATTTTCTCCCATTCTTTGGGCTTCCTCTTCACCAAGTTGATTTTTTCTTTAGCTGTGAAGAAGCTTTTTAATTTTATGAAGTCCTACTTGTCAATTTTTGACCTGAGTTACTGAGCAAATGGAGTCCTATTCGGAAAGTCTTTTCCCACACGTATATCATGGACGGTACTGACCATGTTTTCATCCAATGGTTTCAGCGTTTCAGCTTTCACATTTAGGTCTTTGATTCGTTTTGAATTATTTTCTGTGCATAATAAATATTGGTTTAATTTTTTTCTTTCTGCATGTGGACATCCAGTTTCACAGCACTATTTATTGAAGATGCTTTTATGCAATGTATTCATTTAGTACCTTTGTCAAATATTAAATGACTGAATCTCTAGTAAATACAGAAACTCATGAAGAATAAACAGCTTATTACTAAATGGTGAATGAGTCAAAGAAGAAATCAGGAAATGAATAAAAATTTTCCTGGAACCCAATGAAAATACAATAAAACCTCTGAATACAATGAAAGCTGTCCTATAAAAAAATGTATACCTCTAACTGCCTAACTTAAAAGAATCATAAAGAGGACAAATAAATTAGTTAATGATACAACTCAAAATTTTAGAAAGACAAAAATACAGCAAATTAGGGGCTTATGGGGGGATACAAAATGAATAAAGTGTAATTAATAAAATAAAAAAAGAAAAAAAATACAGCAAATCCAGTTGACAGCAAGAAATAATAAAAATTATAGCAGAAATAGAATAAAATAGTCAATGAAATAGAAACAAAGAAAGCAATACCAATAATGAACCTAAGAGCTGGAGATTTTTTGTTTTGTTTCTTTTTTGTTTTTTTAATGTTTGTGGAAGATATTTCATTTGATGTTATTTTATTATTATTATTAATTACAATTTATTCACTTTGCATCCCGCTGTAGCCCCCTTCCTCATCTCCTCCTGGTCCCATCCTCCCTCTCTCTTTCCCCACCCCCCATGTCCCTCCCCTAGTCCACTGATAGGGGAGGTCCTCCTCCCCTCCTATCTGACCAGAGCCTATCAGGTCTCATCAGGACTGTCTGGATCCATTTCCTCTGTGGCCTAGTAAGCCCACCCGGCCAGGGGGAGGTGCCAGTGACTGCTCCTGCTCTCCTCACTAGGGAGTCCACATGGAGGCTGAGCTGTCCATGGGCTACATCTAAGAGCTGGTTCTTTGAGAAGATGGACAAAATTGACAGATCTTTGGCTAAAATAGCTAGAAGAAAGAAAAGCAAAAACACCCAAATTTACAGAATCAGAAATAAGCAGAAAAACATTGCAACAGAGAACAGAAAATAAAAGCCTGTACTTTTTTATGTTGGAAAAACTAAAAGAAATGAATGTATTTCTATAAACCGCCAAACCACCAAAATTAAAACCAAGAAGAAGCCAACAACCTAAACAGACCTGTAACAAATTAGATTGAAAAAGTAATAAAGTCTTCCAACTAAAAAATATCTAGAGCCAGACAGAGTTTCAGCAGAAGTCTATTTAACTTTCAAAGAATATCTATAATCAATTCTTCTTATACTATTCAAAATAATTGAAACAGAAGGACTCGCAAATTCTTT